CAGCTTCTCTGGGCAACCTGTTCCAGTGCCTCAGCACCCTCTCCGGGAAGAACTTCTTCCTGATATCCAATCTAAACCTCCCCACTTTCAATTTAAACCCATTCCCCCTTGTCCTGTCACTACAGACCCTTGTAAAAAGCCCCCCCCAGCTTCCTTGTAGCCCCTTCAGGTACTGGAAGGTGCAATAAGGTCTCCCCGGAGCCTTCTCTTCTCCAGGCTGAACAAGCCCAACTCTCTCAGCCTGTCCCCATAGCAGAGGGGCTCCAGCCCTCACTAGAATGTTCTAGTAAGCTTCTGAACTAGGACGTGAGTGCTAATAGCCATGTTGACTCATTCTTAATGTGTCATGTTTATCCACACCTCAGGTTTTGTAACTGGTGACAACGGAGCAGGCCATTGCGAGGGAAGCGCGTGTGCCCAGGCTAATGAAATGAGAAACTGGGCTTCCTACAAAGTACCAGGATAACTAAACTAAGGAGCCATCTAACTGTCTCCAGGGTTACTAGGCTAAACATTAGACAGGCTGGATCCTCGTAATTGGTAAAATAGGCTAAAAGTGAATCCGAGCTCTTCGTCTACAAATGTTCTGTAGAGTGAACGTTCAGGTCACGTCTCCCCCTCTCCATGTCCGGTGCCACGGTGCCTGGGTCAGGACCATCGTTCTGGCGTTGCTTGGCCGAAAACAAGCCTGTGGAAGGCGGCGTTATGGCACCTGTGTGGCCCTACCAGGACACCCGCTCTGTTCCTTTGGTTCTTTGCGGTCAGGCTGGCTGCAGAAAACCACTGCGAGAGCGAAACCGTGGCTCTCCAGCCCGCACCTGTTGAGCGCAGAACCAAGGGCACCAGAGGGTCTCTGTTTCCCTTCAAAGCACCTGAGGTCTTTATTCCCCTTCGTCTCTCGCTTGCAGACGCCCCGACACAACGGAGACAGAAGAGCCAACCACAGCCTGTCCCTACTGCGCGTTCCAGCTCCCGGAGTGCGAGCTTCTGTGCCCCGGCTGCAAGAACAGCCTCCCGTACTGCATCGCGACGGTGAGTGCCCGCGGGCTGTCCCACAGCATGGGCACGGCTTCGCTCCCCTTCGCGTCCGGCCGACGGGCTCCGGGCTGCGAGGGGGTTGGGGCAGGATGGTGCTGGGGCTGCTGGGGGGGTGTTTCCACCCTGTTCCCAAATCGTTCATGACAAGAACGGGTTTTACTTACTGGGACGTGTCCTTAGTTCCCACCTACAAGTCGCAGGCGCTGAAGGGTGATGGCGAAGCTGTGAGGAGCCGGCGGAAGGTGTCGGCTTCCCGGGAAAGCTGGTGGCGTGCCTGGCCCTCCCCTCCACAACCCGCGCAGGCGCATCCGTGCGCTTGGGAGAACAGACAGGACTGGGCTGCTGGTGCCTTCCCAGATGAGCCCGTCGGCTCCGGGCCACGGCGGCCGAGGCCGGAGGCCCCGACCGGTGCGGGAGCTTGCAGCGGGCAGGGCTCTTCTCCCCTGAAGGCCAGGCTGCCAAGGGAATGCCCAAAATCTTCATCCTGGGAGTGCCTGTAGTAACGGTTCAGGCACCTCAGCACTTCTAGTATCGCTGATCCTCACCGAAAGACGTTCTAACCCTTCTTTTGAGGCTACTTTAGAGGTACGGATGGGGGGTGTTCCCCAGTGGCAGAGCCGGGCATCCCACCCTTACCGGCACCCGTACAAAATCTCACGCTGAGGCTGGCTGCTGTGTGACTAACGCTGTAGTCTTACGAAGGGCCACGTGATCAGTCACACCAGAATTACAGAAAACATCAAAATTTACTTGAGCAGGAATCAGATGTTTGGAGTTAAAGTTCTTTATTAAAACTCAGGAATTAGGCAAGTCTTACAAAAATAGTAATAGCATTTATCTGGGTTTGTTACTCTATTAGCTTAGCAGAGTAGTAAGATGATCAGTGTAATTCTGAAGTATTAAGGAAAAATCAAGGCTTTTAAAGACAGCTTTGGGCCCAGCCATGTACATGTTCAGGTGTATTTCACGTTACTTGTTTAGGCTGCATCTGGGCTACAGTCCATTTGCATCCCAGGTATCCGAAACACCGTGAGGAACGCGGCATTTTCAGATATCCAGTGAGAGCCCATGTTGTGTTAGAGCAGAAAGTCTCTGCGGTGCTGGGGTGCTTCTACAGCATTGGAAAGGTACATGGGAATTCTAGGGAAAGCCAAGCCAACCACCTCGAGGAGGAAGAAATGGTTTCTGCTGACGGAGGCAAGCGCCAATCCAGACAGTGTCGAACGCAACCTCCTGGGCTCGGGCCGCGTGGCTCTGGGGGCAGGTTTGCAACGCCTCCTGCGGCACAGGTCAGGGTGTTTCCGTACAGCTTGAGCCCCAGAGCTACCGCTCGTCTTCCAACACTGCCCCACTGGAATTGCCAGGGTCGCAGTTCAGCACGGCCCCAGGTTTCTTTAAGAGGGATGCTTATTCTTTAAGTGATAAACACCACCCCGCATGCACGGCTCCCGTCTGCTTACGGAATTGACATGGTAACCAGCCTACAGCAGCACTGACTGGGCTTCCTAATTCCTCAAGACCTTTGGAATGGGGCTGCTGTGGGTACAGAACCACTCGCCCCTCAGTGACGCGTGGCTCTCGCACACAGGGTCGGCACATGGTGCGAGAGGACTGGACGGCCTGCCCGCACTGCCGCTTCCCCGCCCTCTATTCCGAACTCAAGAGGTAAGTCAGGATGTGCTTTCCAGTGCAGGATCCCAGCATTTGCTCCTGGTTTGGTACTGGGAACGTGTCACGGCTGGGGGAGGGGGGGAAGGGGACTCCCCCTTAACTTGGTAGTTTTGTCAAAGACTGAGAACATCACTTCCCAGCGGATCAAGAGACACAGGGCTCCAACTCCAGGAACCATGGTGGGGGACCTGTGCAGGTTCTCTGCTCCTTCCCAGAAGAAGGCCTGGCACAGGAGGGGAACACAGGGGCAGTAGCAGCCACCAAAACAAACCAGCTACAGCCAGGACTGGGTACAGAGCGAGGCAGCGATAAGCTCCTGGCTCCCATAATCATCCGTGGTAGAACAGAACAGGGTAGTTCTCTGGGGTTGGGAACTGTTCTAGCCCCAGCCCCTTTGGGAATGTTGGAATGATCGTTTGCCTGGTCCTCCTTCTTTTAAAACAGCATGTTACAGACCGAAAACACGTGTCCCATGTGTTCCGAAAGGATCGACATCGTTCATCTTGAGAAAATCAGCGACTGCACACCGTACCTCCAGCCAGAGGATGGCGACCAGTAAGTTCAGGTAGGTGCCAGAGCCTGCACTTTGGTACGTAACGGGGCTCGGTCTAGAGGGCAGGGGGAGCTTGTCCCAGCCAGGGACATGCAGCGTTCAGGGACTAAACCTACAGCCTGGGTCTGTGCCCTGGATAACCAAGATGCAGCTCCATCCCCTCTTTGCCCCACCAACACCCAGCGGTGTTGCTCCTGCGGCTCACCTGGCTGTCAGGTCATCCCACCTGCGAGGCTGCAAGCCAGGTTTTCATCTGCCGTCACATTCTGGTCTGGAACATGTTCCTGAAGGCCAGTTGTGCTCCAGTAGCACAGAGAATGGTGTGAGGATCCCGGCATCCTCTAATCCTTCTAGGATCATGTTGGTAGATGTTTAAGGGGGGAGGAGAGAGAGAAGCCAACCGGAAGGAGCAGATCTGAAATGATCTTACATATGGTTAACAAGGTAGGAATAGATCCAGGGTAACAGCAACACAGCACTGGCCCAACACACTCCTGTGTCAGAGGAGACGGCTGCTCCGCCACACGCTTACTTGGAGACTCCAGTTTTCTTAACAGTATGGTAACTGTAAATGCGTTAAGAGCCCTCGTTAACTGACAGCTGAGGGCAGATTTAAAGTGCCAACACTGTACATTGGAAGCTGAGCAACAGGGCAACGTAACACACAATTGATGTTGTTATACAAACATACATAACAATAGCCTTATTTTTTCCTGGTCTAGGAAAACTATGTGGTTGGCTGTCACCATCTCTGTATCCTGGGATGCAGCTGACCGTCACGGTTTATCTTCAGAGCTGCGCGTGTTGCCCAGCTGGCAGCAAGGGAAGCTCTAGCCCTATGGTACATGGTACACATCTTTGCGCCACGAGGATTTAATCACCACCACCACATCAATTCTGTTGTATGACAGCCTGTCAATATTTAGCTTTTGATAAATTTTGTACTTTGATTTATTCTAGTAATAAAACCCATTGATAATTCTCCTTCCCAAGCAGACTTTGCATTTCACCTGCACCAGAGACAAACCGAGGGCCACTCTGGGCTACGAGTGGCAAAAACCCTACGGATCTCTAACAGCAGAGTCTTAACTTCTGTGACTCTTCCACTCCAGATTCCTTACTTGTCCAGCGTTCCTCGCTGGGTGGGATTCAAGGCACAACTCATATGAGTGCGGGCTCCTCACATTTTGGAACTCAAGCCCTCACTGCTTTTGTCTCTCACTGAGCAGAAGGGAAGGTGTAGGAAGAGACTAACACCACATCCCACACCTGAAGGAAAACTTTGGAAGAAAAGAGGGAGAGACAGAACACCCCCTGAGGTTACCCTAAGCTGTAGAAGACTCCTGTGAAACCTTTTATTGGCATTTTATACACTGCTTCATTTCTGTAATGTACAAACGGGTACTTCAGGCTTGGGGGTTTCTGCATCACCTGCTATGTACAAGGGTCCGCCCCAAAGTCCGGAGGTTTATTAAAAAAAAAGAGAGTACATCCTGGGAAGACCGAGCACGGCACCTGCAGCATGTTCATGCACTGCGGGGGTTGTTGCACAAGGCCGTTTCTGGCCTGTCACACCGCAGCACAGCGCACACACTCAGAGCACAGCCACTACGTCACCTCTGCGAGGAGCACGTCCGAGCCGCTGGGGCTGCTTTCCCAGCTCACACCCTGGATCCCTCTCACACTC